GCAAATCAATCGTTCAAAGGCCAAGACACTTCGACCCTGCTGGATTCCCAGCTAATATTCAACGGCAAAGAGATGGAAGAATTCGATAAATATGTTTACCTGGGCCAATACGTGGCATGATGAGATTGGAGACATTCAACGAGGAAAGAGAGCCGGTTGACGCGTTCCATTCCATCATAGAGCCCTCGTAGGCAACATCGAGAAAGAAACCCAAGAACACTTCTTCAATTTTAAAGTACTGCCGGCAAGGTTGTATGACTGTGAGACATGGTCACTCATTAAAGCCGAAGAGAGTTCACTCTTTGTCACGGAGGAAGCCATGAAAAGAAAAATTAACGGAATTTCACGTTGCGGCCACATCCTCAACTCAGTGATCAGACAGCGGATGGAAGTAAAGGGCATTATGGCATTATCGTCGTCAGCAGAAGGGAGAAGAAGCTACAGTGAACCGAACATTTAGTTAGGCTTATCGACGAGAGATAATCATTGACTGATACCATCGCGGGCGGATTTGACTGCTTCGTTACCGGCCATGACGGTAGGAGGGTTATGTGAGGAGCCGGAAAAGCCGTACTCTGAGGGGGGAAGTGGTTCGAATCTGTGAAGAATTGCGGGCATATTGCGGCCAACGCAATTCGTGGCTGATTACTTGCCAGTGCAAGTGAATTCTGCTGCTGCACTAAGTTTGAAACGTACTTAATGTTTTTACTGATTTATTTTTTACAATTATTTTATGTTTGATTTTGCTGATTATACTTCACTAATAAGGTGGAATCGAATTCAGGCAAACAAAGTGAATAACGGCAAAAACCTGATAAATAAAATTTGTAATATCACTGATGATCACCTGTCTTGCACTAAATAATGTCTGTCTGTGTCTCTCATGTGAACATGTCAGTAATTAAAAAACTGTAATGTGAGAATTCCAGGATTTCCGAGATAAAGGTTATGAATCAAATCAATATCTCGAAAGATTCATGCCGATGCGCGTTGTAAGGAAGTGGCGTGTATCTCAGTGCCTTCAAGTACTGCAACTTTGGATCTGATGTTGACGGTTCAAAACATACAGTTCGATGGAAAGTTGTTTTCTGATGAAACGTTGCGTCCTATCGTGATTTTGTTTAAGCAGTAAAACTTTGACCGACTGACCGTCCGACTGGATTACTACATGCGTATCGACCGTTCCTTATCATAAACGGCGTTTTTTGTTGTGATGACTGATCCGCTTTTACATTTTATATTACATTTTCTATGAGGAACGGTAGATATGAAGATTTTTAAATGTAAGCACATGTTGCGAGCCCATGTCAATGTGTTCATAATTAAATAATTGTTTTTGGCGTTTTAACTGGTGCAGTATCTCTAAGTTTTTATATTCTACATAAACAGAAGACGGAATCCTTTGTTAGTATTTATTTCATGGATGCATTTATAGAGATTGATCGTATGCAAGTTGATTGACCAAGAACTATTTTAAATATTTTAAAATTACCTCAGATTTTATTTTATTCATAATTTATTCACCATGTGCGTCTAGTTAGGGGGCTATTGCGCTAATGAGAATGCCTTCAGGTCATCGCTTTGACTAGCCAGGGTCTGAAACCCGGATTCAATAGTTTCAGTTCATATTTCCTTTGGTCATACTCCGTCCGTTTGGAGCAAAGGAGACGCAGAGCGCGATACAGCAACCCCGTTACTGTAGTGTGAACATGTGTTTGCTTGTGAATCAGAAGCCGCCATTGGCTTCTACGGATGACAGGCGATTTGTCAGCCTCGACCGGCTGTATAGTTTCAGATGATTCAAAACGATTACGTGATTATAAGAACCAGTCACAGTTTTACAATAATGTACTTCACCCTCGTTGGCCGACCGTCTCAGCGTTCACGACACGCCTTTAGTGCCTCCGTAGCGACTAAAGAGCATTTCATTCTGTCGAGTAATCCATTACATTGATCGTTGTCCGCTCCATGTCACAGGGACGAGAGGATGGTTTTTAAGGAGTTATGTTTTCAGAATTTATAAATTCACATTATTTTATGTACTTGTAAAGTAAGTTATTTTGATACTTCGCTTTGTTTAGAAATTGGCTCAAGCTTTTCCGACGATAGAAACGCTGAAGCAGACTTTTTACGGCATCCCATTTGAGGATATCCCTATCTGCTACATGAAGTGCAGCAAAAACAACACGCTGATCACAATAGCGGACGCCAAGGGAAAACCGATATTGTACACATCGTGTTCGGTAGAAGGCTTCAAAAACTGTAAGAAAAAGACGGAAGTAGCCGGCCAAGCGACCGG